GTGGCCCAGACTGAAATCGCATACTTCAACCGAAACTCGATTCAAACCATGGAAACCTAACAGTAAGCTTCCATTTGGTGGTCCAGACGCTGCTCGCGGAGCCTAATTTCAGTATGTGTAAGGCGTCCGCCGTCAACTATTTCGTGCAGGCTCCAATCCCATGTCCGTTTAGCTCCACCTGACTTGTCCAAACTGGGTTAAACTGATACCAACATTAGCTTTGCGAGCGGGCAAGAACCAAATTGTCCTCGGTTTGTGTGCCACTGGAAAGCTGCCATTCAGTCTCTCCTCTTGGCAGCCACGGATTACCATCCTTGTTCAAGAGTCTCGCAGAGAAGGGACCACAAATCCGTTACACACCCACTAGGTGCACTTTTCTTCAGCATCGCTGAGAATGCCAGAGAATCAACCAACTATTGCAGGCGTATGAAAGGTGACTCTGTGAAAGATCAGATTGGCTCTTGTGTTGACGGCATCACGCCCCTGTTAGGCTGCTGCAATTTCAGTATTACCAGCAAATGCTTTTTTATTCTTTAGGGATGACGCATGTTTTATGAACGTAATCCCACAACATGAACATTGCCGCCGACTGCACGGGATTACGGATGACTCGCCGCTACAAAACTAGTGGTGGCTACGACACGAATTCTGGGGTGTGGGATAGACAGTCGTTGAGAGAAGTGCCAGTGTTTATTTTATCGATGATACCTAAATCTATAAATACACTAACAAGCGGGCAGATATAAACCGTAGTGCAATCAGCGGCACTAAATTGCGATGTTGTTTGCCCGGTGACCGTCAATGCAGCACACGTAATAGTTCTGAGACTGAGACTGAGACTGTATTTAAGACCAAGTAGAAAGGTTTCTGTACAACTCTATCGAATTACGAAAAATCAAAATTTACTTGTGAATTATCAGCAGTTGTGGTTGGTCCGTTAATCGTTTATCCGTGTTCGGTTAGAAATTTGTACTAGCGTCATTATTTCCGGACATACAATGTCTTCTTTTGGCACTGTATGTGCATCGTTTCACAAAAGCACAGGTTTCCAAAATAATCGTCGATACGGGTTTTAAAACACTTCACAGAATCAGCCTCTATTAATCCTTCTGGTAGTGTATTCCATAAGTTTACGACTCTTCGTTGGATACAAAGCTGATGTGATATTTTGTTCATACTGGGGACCCTGAGTTTGTAACGATGTCCTCGGGTGTTACAGGGTTCTCGCAGGTGAAATATTGACCATAGTATGGGGAAGTGATTCAAGTGTATTACTCGATGGGTCATAATAAGATCAATTCTTACTCGGCGATAGGATAGTGTGTAGAGTCCGAGCTTTTCACAACGTTTTTCATATGGAAGCTTTCGTAGACTTGGTATCATTCTAGTTGCGATATGCTGTATTTTCTCCAGTTTTTCAGTTTCCCATTGGGTTATCGGATGGTAAGCTGGGGCACCGTATTCAAGGATTGGTCTAATGAGCGAGGTGAATAGACGAGGGACGGTTTCTTCGGATCATGTGGAGAAACTGCGTCGTAATGCCCAGAGCATACGAAGTCCCGCACGGTACAATTTCTCTGTATTTTCTAGTGATCTCATATCATGTCGTGAGAGAACTCCTAGGTCTCTGACAGATGTGTTGGGATGGAGCAACTGGCCGTCCAAGGTGTATGATCGAGTGGCTGGACGTCTGGTGATACTGATGAACTCAGACTTGCTTGCGTTAAGAGGGAGTTGCATTTCAGTGGATCACGTTGACAGTCGCTCTAAGTCATGCTGGAGGCGAGCGCAGTCGTCCTGGTTCTCAATGATCCTCCAGATTTTCAAATCATCTGCAAACAGGACACATGGTGACTGGAACTGCTGCGGAAGACCGTTGATATGAATAAGAAATAATGCTGGCCCAAGTACAGTTCCTTGAGGCACGCCACTGGTCGATGGGAACCAGTCTGTCAGATAGTCATTGACCTGTACTCTAAACCTTCGTCCCACCATAAACTCGTGTAACCACTGAAGTAACGTGCCACCGATTCCGTATGTCCTCAGTTTACGAAGGAGTACCTCGTGGTTCACTCTGTCAAACGCCTTACTAAAGTCGATGTACACCACATCAACATTCTTCTGTTCATTGAGAGCTCGAAACCACTGGTGGTTTGCGTACATCGTTTCGTAAAGCCGTGTTGCGCTGGCGTCAATACGTCCATCGATTCGAAGAACGATAGCAGACACTTTTTCACAACCTTCCCGAGAACTTTGGATAATACCGAAGTCAAACAGATCGGTCTATAGTTCTCTATTTTACTCGGATCACCACCCTTGGGAAGCGGTTTAACTATCGAGCATTTCCAGTCGTTCGGGACGGATACTTCAGAGAGCGATCTATTGAAAAGGTTTGTCACAACTGGTGAGATGATAAGCGATAAGGACTTGAGTATTAGTGGGTGAAGTCCGTCTGGCCCGGGGGGCTTTGCACCATTGAGGTTGACGAGTAGCTGATGTACTTCGACTGCATCACATTGTAGGCTGTCGAGCAAGACTTGCGCAACCTGTGCCGGTACTGGAACAGCCGCCGGTTTACTGGAAAATACAGTGAGAAAGTGCGTAGCCAGGGCGTCCGCGTGCTCCGCGCTTGAAATGAGTGTCTTCCCGTCTAAGCTCTCTAAGACCGGTAGGTCGTCTCCAGGTTTCCGTTGACGTTTCAAGTAGGCAAATATTCGCTTGGGTGCAGTTGCGGCCGAGGATGCTAGCTCCTCTTCGAACTGCCGGCGTTTCTTGATCTTTGCGGCGTTACATAAGTTACGCTGTTTCTTGTACACCGCGTAATCTTCATCACAACCTGAGCTGATGTATCTATACCAAAGTTTACGACGTCGTCGCGCTAACTGTCTGTATTCCCTATCAAACCAATGCGGTTTGACAGGTCCGATTTTTGGATACTTAAGGGGAACGAACCGAGTACAGAGTGAGTTAAGCTTCCCCTTTATTAATGACCACCACGCCTCATGTGACGCATCTTGTGGTAGTGTCCAATCAGTCTGACTTGCGGCTTGGACGAGTCCGTTGAAGTCCGTCTTGCAATAGTTGAATGTCGGCTTCTGTTGATTGTAATATGGTAACGACAGTTCTAAGCTTGCTACAATAGAACAGTGGTCACTGTTCGCCATAGGTTCGATGACTCTGATCTCTTTTAGCTTCTGCTCGCAGCTCGTAAACATTAGGTCCAGACAAGATGCCAAGTATGGAGTTACGCGCGTCGGTTGGATGACATGTTGCGTTGCCCCATTTTCAATAGTCATTTTAGGGAATTGAGCCTCAACGTTGCCATAACCGGGAAGAAGTCGAACATCTGGCCAAATTAGGTAAATTTGGATCTCCCATCAGTAAGGACTGAGGGCGGCTCATGTGCTTCTGAACATGTGGTATCCAATCGCAGCAACGGTTTAATGGGCTCCGGTAGATAACCCCCACAATTAGTTCTGCGCGCCTGAGACGGATTGTGCACCACACTTGCTCGCATAAACTATCCTCGCTCCGATAGGTACTGATAAGTTTGCCAGATAGTGACGATTTTATGTACAACAGAACACCACCGTGAGCCTTTGATTTTCGGTCACATCGGAAACAAGAGTATCCTGACAACACGACTTTTTGGGGTATGATGTCGGAGTTCAACTATGTCTTTGCAAGTCCTAAAATGTCCGGCCGCTCCGAGACAGCGAAGCGGCACAGTTCGTCACGTTTGTTCATTAGGCTGCACACGTTAGCGAATGCGACACGGAGGTCCTGGGAGGTACTGCGGGACGTGCATGGAGGTTGAGCAACCCATTGATAAGGGTTCGTACACCCTTCTTGATCACCCGAAAATTTACAACTTGTAAGTCAGTCTCACCTTCCTCTGTACGGCGTTTGAGCTCAATGACCGCAGTCTTCAAATGATCCCTGTCCTCGGGTTCCAAATCTCGGCGGATGTGAACTTTTATGCCTTTCAGCCTTGACAGACGAGAAAGTATGAGCTGCGGCATATTAGGATTTGCAAAGGTGATCCTCAGAGGTCGACATGACTGGTTAGTTATCTGGCCAAGTCGGATTACTTGTTTAATGCTCACACTGTCCTCGCCCACATCCAAGAGTCTATCGATGAGCCCCTGGAGGAACTCAACATCGTGATCATAACGTATCTGAGGGTTTTCATCTTTTGACTCCGGTACGTGGAAGACCATGAGATTATGACGCCTCAGCGAAATCAGTGATGAACCTGTGGGAGCAGAACTAGAGGCGCTTAACTGATTGGGTAGTTGTTTATCAGCAGGTGACGTCTGAACTCGATTACGTGGGCCCTTGCGCTTTTGAGTGGTCCATGGATCCTCGGTGTTCAGAAGTTCACAGACAGGCTCTGAGAAATTCACGGACCGATCAGTGAAGCGGCATTTCGTAGCTTCTGAGTCTGAGTCTTCCATCGGTGGGAAACATTGAACCTGGGGTTCGGCCGGGGTCGAAGACGCTGGTGATGGTGCAGATCGCGGAGTGACAATAGAAGGCGAGGTGACAGAGGTACTTTCACAAGGGCGTTTGATCCCACGTGGTGAACGGTTTGTTTCTATCTGAAAGAGAGATTTTTCCGTAGTTGTTTGCGGTCGCCGCGTATTCTGATGTCTTGTACCGCGACATTTATCACATATAACTTGAAAAAACCGATGTCGAATGTCGAGCGATTTTCGAAACACGTCAACGGATAAACCAATGGCGACGAATGTGGTATTTGAATATCTGTCGGTAGCTTACGTAGTGCTTGAGCCGGTAGTTCCCTTTACTGTCAGTATCACACGTTACAATCTTGGTTGCTGGTGGTAGGGTTATGTTGCTGATAGCATATTCCTATGGATGCGGTACTGAGTGGGCTAGGTGGGCTAAGCTGGGTGTGAGCGGTTGGTGAATTTGTTGTGGGCACTTTGGGATACGCGGGGGTTTTGTAGCTTTAGTTGTTGGTGGGGGCTATTGGTATGTGGGGGGGGGTGGGTGGGGGGGGGGGGGTGGGGGGGGGGGGGGGGGGGGTGGGGGGGGGGGGTGGGGGGGGGGGGTGGGGGGGGGGGGGGGGGGGGGGGGGGGGGGGGGGGGGGGGGGGGGGTGGGGGGGGGGGGGGGGGGGGGGGGGGGGGGGGGGGGGGGGGGGGGTGTGGGGGGGGGGTGGGGGTGGGGTGGGGGGGGGGGGGGGGGGGGGTGGGGGGGGGGGGGGGGGAGGGGGGTGGTGGGGGGGGGTTGGGGGGTGGGGGGGGGGGGGGGGGGGGGGGGGGGGGGTGGGGGGGGGGGGGGGGGGGGGGGGTGGGGGTGGGGGGTGGTGGGGGGGGGGGGGGGGGGGGGGTGGGGGGGGGGGGGTGGGGGGGGGGGGGGGGGGGGGGTGGGGGGGGGGGGTTGGGGTTGTGGGGGTGGGGTGGGTGTGGGGGGTGTGGGTGTGGGGTGGGGGTTGGGGGTTGTGGGGGGGGGGGTTGGGTGGTTGGGGGGGGTGGGGGGGTGAGGGGTGTGGGTGTGGGGGTGTGTGTGGGGGGGGTGTGTGGGTGTGGGGTGTGGGGGTGTTGTGGTGTGGTGGTGTGGGGTGGTGGTGGGTGTGTGGGTGGGTTGTGGGGGGGGGTGTGGGGTGGGGGTGTGGGGGTGGTGGGGTTGGTGGGGGGTGGGTGGTGGGTGTGTGGGGGGGTGGGGGTGTGTGGGTGGGGGGGGGTGGGGGGTGTGGGGTGTGGGGTGGGTGGGGGGGGTGTGGGGGTGGGTTGGGGTGGGGTGTGGTGG